CTTAAGTAATAAACACTAGGTAAGCAAAACACCGCGAAACTTTCTTTCTGCCTCAATAAGGCCCAAGTAATAATGAAGCAATTCTATAGTCAATTCCTAATTAACCGAAACCCCATATGAAATCAAGCTTTGAAGATGAGCCTGCCACACTTCTTTCTTTCTTTCAAATGCGGTAGAAAGGATTTCGTAACTCAAAAATTGTATCACTTATTTATTTATATCGCTTTAAATATAAATATAATATATACCTATATAAAAATAGTTATAATTGTTTATTTAGAAAATATTTATATTTATTTGTTCTACTTTTATTTACAAAAGTTGAGCTGAGTTTTTCTTAAGAATTTAGTATAACAAAATAACTCGTAAATATCACCTCAATTTTTTTTACTATAACTACTTGACATACATATATACTTACCTAAGTAAGCACTTGCTAATACGCCCGCTGTAGCCAGCTAACTTTTACTTTCAAACGAAATATTAACGCTCAAAGCAGTTTACAAGGCGCTCAAAGCCCGCAAATAGCCAACCAAGCATGCGTGCCACAATAATTCTTCTGCAACAACAATATAATTCACAAAAAAAAGGCGTTTTTAAACTTTGTGGTACAACTAAAGATTTCCACCGAAAGCAATCGTCAAAGAGGAAAAGAGCGCTGAAAACTCTTGGCAAAACTTTGCGTTCGCATCGAAAGGCAGCCTGTAATATTAAAAACATACGCAGCATCAACGCGGAATCATTTACTCAATAAAGTTCCCCTTATGTGAATGTATTTAGTATGTACCATAGCGAAATGCCTGTGTTAATAAACTAGCTTTGAGCGCAGCGAAAAAAAGGCAGTTCTTTAACGTCAAAGAGTTTACCATAAAATGCTTTGGAAATTGTTTCAGCGTTACAAATACGTATTTTATTTTAAAAAAAAAGTACGGGCGGCACTGCTGAAACTTTCACCTGTGCAAAGCGAGTGCGCGTTATGTTTGTAGCGAAGTGATATTTGCTCAAAGGATTCCAACTTTCACTTTTGGCTATTTTTTTAGTTAGCATACAACTTTACCTTCTAGCTAGCACCTTTTAGTTTTTATTTTTTTCTAGACACTAGCATTTGTTGCTCTCGGCTCTGCAACGCAATTCTTTTTTTACAAGTTTTTTTTTATTGTTAGCTCGCTTATATGAGTAGATATCTTTGTCACACCACATTGCTCATACGCCATGGCATACCTGCGTAACTCATAAAATTGTATGTAGTATTTCGCCACTCTCTGTGCGTCAGCGTGGGATCAATATTTGTTTACACATGCACATTCTAGTGTCAACCATGCAGCTTGATAATTCACCGGAATACTGTATTGAAAGTTCATTTTAGAATGTCTATGAGTTTTCGAACTAAATTGCCATGGTGACTTAGTGTGTTGTATATTTATAGAATGTAGTAAAAGTTGTCAATTTTTTAGGCAAAAATAAACTTAACTTGTGGGAATAGAATCAAACGAAAGACTGATTAAACTTTTGGAGGAGCTTAGTTGGATTTGTAGTGAATGGAAATTAAAAAAAAAAATCTAAACCAAAATACATGGTTTAAGTACTTGGTTCGCATTTCGATTCCAAGTCACTTTGGGCCGTATGAATAAAAGCTAAGGAATTGCTTTTTTTTCTCACAAATTCAGAACTCTTGGGTTGTGTTTCAACAAATTCAAAATTATTTCAATCTTCAAATTTTTGGTTTCACCAATAAATTTTAATTTGTTTAGTATGTGTGTAAGTGATTTAGTGAGGGAATACTTGAGCGAGTGAATAAATGAGTGCTTGAGTAAGCCAGTAAATGAGTGACTGTGTTTGTTACTCTTTCACGCCGAAATAAATCGATAGATTTCATTAAAATTTATTACACAGATATTTTATAGCTTGGATTAAAACATGATTTTGTTTTGTGTGACCACGTGTTGATTTTTTTTAACATTCGTAGTATTTTTCAAGGAAAATTCTTATATTATTTTTCTAACTTTATGCAAAACTAGGAGAATTTCAAAACTGTTCATCAAAATTTCAAACATTTTCATTCATTTTTTTCCATTTTTTTTTGCTGACGATTTTTGCACTTTTTCAACTAAACATGTATTTTATGAAATAAAATGCGAAAAATCGTTCGCAACAAAATTTAAAAAACTCAAGGCCAGGTTCTAAAACTTGCACTTATGTACACAAAAAAACACCAAAGAAATTATCTAAAATCAACGCGATTTTTTAGCCGGTCTTAAATTATATGAGCGATCAAACTGCATACCCAAAAAATGTTTTAAAGATTCAGTGGAAAATTTGTTAGATTTTCCCAAATTGTATCCAAAGTTTGAAACTTTGATTATATGGTTTTGGTTAAAGCTTGGACAATATTTTTCTGGAAAAATAACAAAAAAATTTTACTTCAAAAACATTGTGTATTTAAAAATCAACACTGTATCTTGCATCAAATTAGTTTTAAAGTAACTTATAAGAGAGTCGCAAAAACAATTATATGTATATCTCTAAGCAAATAGTTTTTGACTTTTTAATAAAAACATACATATTTTTCTTTTTTTCCCCTACAGTTCCCAACATGCCACGAAAAGGAAATCAACACTGAAAAAAAGGCGATCGATTAAACATTGCTGAAAGAAAACAACAAAAAAAAACATTAAAAAAATGAGCCAACAACACGCACGAAGTGATCGCTTCCGTAGCAAACACAAGCACAAAACCAACAAAATGGGCACACAAGCAACGTGCACAAGTCCAGTGAGATGGCAAAACGAAACAATTGCTGCAAAACTGACAGCGAACGCACTACATTGCAATCCAAACCACCGAAACCGACAACAGCAACAACATAGATTAACAAAAATAAGCGCGTCCTGCTCACCTTCCACACTCCTCCTCCTATTCACAGTCACGCTGCTAAGTTTACTTACGCATACGAGCGCCTTCTGCCCATCCAAGTGCCAGTGCATCAGTGGCGATGCCAATAGTCGGGCATATTGCGTGGACGCAGCGCTCGAAGATGTGCCCATACAATTGAATCCCGAAACGAAGTATATCAATTTAACACAAAACAAAATACGTAATCTGGAATTTACGCTGCCCTTCTACATGAAGCTAGAAGTACTGGATCTCTCACAGAATATCATCGAAACGCTTGGTTCGAAGAATTTCGAATATCAACGGGATATGCGTACGTTGAATTTGAGTCGGAATTCGGTGAGCGCATTGCAGAAGGACGCCTTCAAGGGGTTGAGTAATTTATTGGTGCTCGATTTGAGTTACAATCGCATTGAGGTGGCGCATCCCAGTGCAATGAGCAATCTGACATCGCTGATAAAACTCGATTTGACTAATAATAATATAGTCAGCTTGGAGGATAACTGTTTTCGCAATATGATCTCATTGGAGATTTTAATATTCAAAAACAATCAGCTGCTGGATGTGCCATCGAATAATTTGCAGCATTTGCATGCGCTCAAGTCGCTAGATTTATCTGATAATCTGGTGGAATATGTGCGCAACGATAGCTTTGAAGGGCTGCGCGAGTTGTTGGTGCTGACGCTGAGAGGCAATGTGATCTCTGAGTTGGATTTGAGCGCCTTCGAGGGGTTAACTACGCTTAAGCATCTGAATTTGGCCGATAACAATTTGACGGTAAGTGATTTGAACAAATATTAGAAAAGAGAATAGAAGTTGTGTAAAAAATTAATCAGGACGAAATATTTAAAAGTGAAAATTTATGTCAAAAGGTCCACTTGGTATGTCTTGGATAAGCCAAATAAGCTCCAACAAATGCTGTGCCTAAGTAAATAGTTATTCTAATATGAAAGGATCAATTTTGCAATACGAGAGTGGTTGTGAAAAATTTTATTAAGCTGGCGCTTGCAAAATCATAGTTTTACTCACACGCTTGTACATAGGTATATGATAAACTTTTCGCTTTATGAAGTTTCAAATGTCTCATAAACGCCGCTAAAGAAGGGTTCATTAAAAAAAAAAACAAATCCAAAATTAAAAAGTAAAGGAAATTTTTTAATTCAACGAAAATTCTTGCACGTTCAATTTTTTCGCTCATAATTTTTAAATAAGAAGTCAATCCCCCCATATTAATCGATTTCCACATCTCATGCGAACGAGAGCAACGTGCTTCAGCTGCAATGTCGGATATACATATGTATCTATTGTGTATGTAGAGCACAATTCATTTATCATCCAACCTCAAAATTCGCATCTTGGCAAAGCCACAAACCAGTAAAGCAGGTAAACAACAACAGCAACAAATGCATTGCATTGCTTTTATCGCGATGGCATTGCACGTGCTGCCACCTAAGCTTGTCACATGAAATGGGTGTCACTTAATAGCGCCCAGATAAAGGTGTAGAGGTTGCGCATACGACATGGCGTACCGATAGTGTATTGAAATGCAGGAAAGATGTGAGCATTAGACGCTTCGTGTGAGAAGAAGAAATATATATGTGAATGCTATAAATGCCTTCAGAAGGGATATAAAAACAAGGAATTGTTTTACATTTTTAGCTACATACTTACATACATACGTATACTGGTAGCAGAAATAATAGACACGCCTTATTTTAACCAGCTTTGTCTATATTTCTTATGTCTTTTTAATGTTTAATATTTTTTCATAAAAGCTTAGCTAGTTATACATCAAACACTATAGAAATTCACATTTCAAACTTTGTACAAAAATTAAATATTTATCACAAATTTTAACCAAAATTTCAAACTTTTTGTTTAGAGTTTTACGAAAAACTTTTGGGTTAGCAGTTTTACATTATCTTCCATATAAAAAAGATTTCCAACATACTTTACACCAATAAAAATGAGTGATACTATCAGCAAAAAATTAATATTAAAAATGAACGGTAACTTTTAGGTCTTGCTCTTTAAATTGAAAAGGCCATAAAATTGTATACACAAAAATATTCTAAAAATTCTGAATTAAAAATCTGAAACTTTGTTGAAACTTTGTTAAAGTTTTGGTAATATTTTTTTCAAAGTTTGAAATGTGTGTATGTACACTTTTAAACTAAATATCAAAAAATAAATAAATCAAATAAATATAGCCAAAATAGGTAAAAATAAAGCGGGTCCATTAATTATGTCACCAGTACGCAATCTAGTAAAATAATAGTAAATTGAGCGACGAAAATCAGGGCTCTAGAAATTTTTTAGCTAAGAGTACAGTTTAATCTACATATTTATCACCCGAAAAAGGCACATCGGTTTATACTAGGTCTCAATTCAAACAGTATATTTGCGGGCGTGTACATACATACAATATAGCAAACACTCGTAACTTCCTTTTCATGCTTAACTACAACAAAAAACACAACACTAACTTCCGCTCTACGTGCGCTATTTCTACGCCACTTTTCAGTTAGCTTGCCTTTTCCTGTTTTATAATTCGGATTTTCACTCTGTATTACACTGCTTATCTGCCTTTTGACCAGCACTTTAACCTATTTGCAGCAGTAAATATTTTGTTATTCTATCAACATAAATATTTATATTAGTTCTTAGTACAACTAAAATAAATATTTTTGCTAGAATTCTTCCGCACCATTTCAGCGGCTGATGCTCTATTTTGAATAGTGCTCTGTGTGCATCTAAAGCAATAAAAAAAGTTTAAATTTCAAAGCTTCGTACTGTGCACTTCAACGCCTTTTGACTATTATTCTGCTCGCTTACTTGTATGCCAGCGCTTTTATGTAGTTAATACTCACATAAGTATTTATGTATATGCAATAAACCTTCTGCAGCAGGGTATAAAGTACAGTTCAGTTTGTATTAGTAGCCCAACAATACACTCATAGCGCCATCGCAAGTAATATTTGGTATTTCATTCGCCTTACGAATTTGCTCTTTTTTTGATTTCCGTTATCTACTTTGTTTTGAGAATTTTGGAACTCTTGCCGCAAATCCACCGTGCAGTTTTCTAAAGTATCCCACTACTTTGTGGTTTGCTCATAATAAGGCGGTGTAAAATCGACTTCTTTATAAATATGTATACATATTCATTTAACTCAAAGCAATTCTGGGCTGTTCTATTTATTACTGTTTCTTTTACGAGCCTACAGGTATACATTTTTTTCTTTTATGGCAGTGGTTTTTATACAAACAGTACACATTTACCTACATATGTATTCATGCAAAGACGCAAGCGCTTGCTTATATTACATTTCATTTGTGCATGCTTATTTAAATGGAGCTCACGCTAAAATTTATAAAAGGAAAAATGTAAATGTATGTTGTATATTTAATTCGAAAGAGTAACTGCAGAAATGAATAATCTTTTAGTTATAGAAATCACAGCGCGACAGAATTGAAAGTGAATCAGAATTTGTATTATGTAAGAGTTTTTTAGCAAAACTTACTTCCGGTTTCACCAGCAATTTAAGCGAAAAATAATTTTTTGCCTTCTGTCAGTTTTTTTTTTTTCATTTTAATCCAAGTAAATAAAAATCATTTTCCACTTACATAAATTGCTTTCATGAAACCGGCTAATAATTTATTTACAACTTTTGTAAATTATTGTACACTAATAAATAAATAAATTATTAAACACTCATCCATTCGGTCATACATACATATGTACATACACATGTTTATAACTATATCTAAAGCTAGGCGATATATTTTCATTATTTTTCCTTTTCTTCTTCTACCTACAACTCTTCTTCTTCCTCTGATGTGATACTACAACAGTTATTCAAATTTGGCCGAGACAAACACAAATTTACCAATTTCCGCTATCTTTAACAAAGTTCCACGAGTTGCTCAGGCAGGTTCTTTTGCACTTGGTCCTTACATTGTGTTCGTAGGAAACCTTGATTTCGTTGTCTATCTCTGGGTGCTGAATTTAAATATATTTTCAGCGGAGTATCACCCATGCTCGCGACATGTGCAAGCTATCTCAAACGTTGATTTATACATCGTGTCCATGTTGTTCAAAAGCTCTTTGATTGCATCCTGATCGCTACACATGCGAATTGGGTGTGGAATGGCTCTATCGAAAGCACCAAAAGCCTTCTCATCTCTATTGGAGAGGTTTGAGCCGACAGCTTTTCTTTGCTTCCGGTTATGGACACTGCCTTGCTCGCGGGCAAAGCTCTTTTAAGCTTTCTATACATTTTGTAGAGGCGCGTGCAGACTAAAAGCTCTCTCTGCCCATTGCTGCTTTACACTGGTAATTTATGATGTACTCGTTCAGTGCTGGCCCAACTTCCTTCTGTAAATTGAAAACGCTCCGCTTACGGGAACTGGCGCTGAAGCCGGCATTTTCAGCTTCCATTGTGCTACGAAAAAAGTGGTAAATAAGCGTCGATCCATTTAGCTGGGTTCATAAATTGCTTCAATCTTTTACACGGTTTCCTCGATAGAACCTTATGTGCAGTGTTGAGAAGATTTATGACGGTAATTAAGAAACTTTTATACATTGCATACTTATAGTGGGGAGCAGAAAATCGCGTTGATTTTTCATATTTTTTTTTTTGCTGACGGCTTTAAGCACTGAAGCATGAATTTCTTATGGACGAAAATGCGCAAGACCTTTTGAAAAAAAAATTAAAAAAAAATCAACGCCAGTTTTGTAAATTGCGCTTGTTATATGAAAAAAACGTCAGAAAAAGCAGTTAGCAAAAAATAAATATATTCTATAAATATTAAAAAGCTAGAAATTTTAATGAAATTTTGTTAAATATTCTAAGCTCTGCATAAAGTCTGAAAGTTTGATTTACATATAAGGCTTTGGCTAAAGCATGAAGCATAATTTTAAGAAAAAATAACAAAAAAAGTTTTAACTTTAAAAACCTTTCAAATGATTAATAATTTCTGCTCCCCACTGTATATAAGAAATTCTGAAGAGCGATTGGTGTAATTCATTTTACCAATCATATGTGTCTCGCATCAGCTGCTCTGCTTCTCTTACATTTCGTCTCTCATCTTTTATAATTTCAAATTCTATTTACATATTTCTGAAAGTATGCATAACCTATATTTAAGTGAATGTATCATACATATTTACATATGTAAGTTTTTGTATGGCAAATGCATTCACTATAAACTTTCGTCATGCTCCCTTTCATCGATTTCTTGAGCATCTTCCTTGTGTCACTCCCATGCGCACTAAGCAAACACGAATTTCCATTTCAATCAATCAAATAATTGCATATTGCTTACCTTGCACTTACTTTGATGCAATAATTTCTTATACATATTAGCATATGTATATACCTAGTTGATAATGCATATGCAAATACTCGGTATGAAAGTAATTACCTTTATTACTTATGAAAATATGTAGACTTATATGTATTTGTGCTCATGTATGTGCACTGAAACTATTCTCTTGCACTTCTACATATTTATATTTTGCCCTCCTCTTCAGTTGATCTTTACACACTCATACTTTGCTGTTTTTGCAATAAAAAATTACCATAAATCAGCTGCCAACTGCAAGTTTACCTCTCGATTAGTCTGCAATCAAGTTGTGGCCATGTTATGCAAATAAAATCAATATTTACCTAATTATTATGCATTTCGCTGATTGAGTGCATATGAGAGCCAGGTTGCGCTTTTGACATTTCTTTACATAAGCTTCAAACTGGCTAAAGGAAATTTTTGTTTTTATAAAATGAAATTAGCTAGTCTTTAATTTATCAATCAATAAAAAAAAAATAATAAATTTTGTGCAAACTTTAGTAAATTCTTATTTTTTATCTTTTCAGATGGTGCCTACACAGCAAATCTCGAAGTTATCCAATCTCACATACTTGTCGTTAAGCGGCAATCGTTTCAGCCAGTTACCCGCCGTAGCTTTCCTGAATCTATTCCATTTACGTGAATTACGTTTGAATCGTTTGGACCGACTCAATCGCATTGATTCAAGGTAAGCA